TTGAACAGCCGAACTGCAGAACTGCAGTCAGCTGAAGTAGCCTGCAGTGCTGCATTTAACCATGCGCCACGTCGGCTCGAAAATGCCACTCCCAAAACTTAGAATTCAATTCTATATTACATTTATGAGTTTTCATATGTCTGTTGAATTGTGTGGGAGGAAAATAAGCCTTATGATAAAATATAATGAGGTACAAGTTATTTTCCTGTTAGAGGCAAAGCAGAAACTATGCCTCCCATTCAACCAAGTCAATGTGTATACTATCCAAAGCCAAGTTATCTTCATATATCTAACAGAAAATCCTCTTCCAATCTCTGGTCATAAAAACAAAAGTTGGTTTGCTACACTTCTATTATATTCCCAACTTGCAACCTGTGTTAGCTTTACTTTAAATAATGATAATGCTGCCTCTGACTATCTGCAGAACCATTATATTGACTGTCAGTTGCTTGAGAACAATAACAGTCAAATGACTGTGCTTGTATCTCCTCCGCTATAGTCTTTGTATGGTTATTTGATGATCAGTAGTAGAAACTGGAAGTAAAACTTCTTAAGTGTTTGGTTTGGTTTCCTCTTTATTAAAACTCCATCCTTTGAACCTCCCCAATTTAACCTTATAATGGTTATTAAATGTAGATATCCTGAAAGTTATATACTGTCCAAGAATATGTCATTCTTATTTAAATGATAGATATACACCCTGTGACTTTGGTCTCACAATGTAACTCATAAAGGAATTGAGCATGTTCCCTTCATATCTCCGCAGGCTGTTGCATATCAACAACAAACCCACACACTACAGCTATCCCATTTCTTCTATAGGAAAGGTGTCTTTGTGAGTATTGTGAGTATGTGTAAGAAATAAATATTTTAATTATTAGTACTTAAAAAATAATTATTTTTCATTCTTTCTCCATATTCTGTCCCACTGCACACATATTTTAAAAATATTTTACATAGTTCCAAACTTGCATGCAATGTGACTTCCAATATACTATTCAAACGTTAGTGTAGTTCTTGACCCAATAAAAATTGTGCACTCCTGTCTAATGCACAAGTCACTCTCTAAAAAAAAAATAGGCACTTTTTCTTGGCAGTATTTTTCTTCTTCAAAATCTTCCAACAACATTTTCATCTTCATGAAGAGTTTAAATACAAGATTAAACTATCAATCCAATTTGAAAATGGATCTGTTAAAAATTAATTTATAATATTTATTTCTTGAATATTAAATATCTGACAGAATACCATAGTATGCACTCTGATCAAATATGCCAAATTCCATTTACTGCAAGACATTAATCTCAATAGAAAGAAACATAGTCATCTCACAGATTCGTAAATAGTGAAAATTAAAGCAGATATTTCAAGTATATTTCAGGACATCTTTATTTATTTATTATTTATTTATTTACTTAGAGGTAGGGAAATAGGTTATCTTGTCAAATAAATGGCTTCTTTCTCTAGGTAGAAGTAACTGTAATCCTACCATACAACCTCTGGTGTAGGAAATGCTTTCACTTTCATAGAAAGTCGATAGGACTTCTTGCCAGACACAACATCCAGCATGTTTTTTTGTCCATGTTGCAAAGTGATAAATGCTTTATCTTTAAAGACAAGAAAAAAGAGGGGGGAAATCATGTTTTAAGAATACTTCAAGCATGACATAAGCAATATGATTTGTACACGAAAGACTACGGTATATGAGGGATTGTCAATATCAGTAGAAATATTTTTTCATGTAAAGAACAACATAAAGGTAAAGGTTTCCCTTGCACATAGATGCTAGTCGTTTCTGACTCTAGGTGGCAGTGCTCATCTCTGTTTCAAAGCCGAAGAGCCAGCACTGTCCAAAGACGTCTCCGTAGTCATATGGCCAACAAAACTAAACACCAAAGATGCACGGAACGCTGTTACCTTCCCATCAAAGGTGGGTCCTATTTTTCTACTTGCATTTTTACATGCTTTTGAACTGCTAGGTTGGCAGAAGCTGGGACAAGTAACAGCAGCTCACTCCGTTACACAGCACTAGGGATTCGAACCGCGAAACTGCCGATCTTTCTGATTGACCAGCATCTTAGCCACTGGGCCATTGTGTCTCTTTTAAAGAACAACATAAGAAGTCTTCAAAGATGCCCTTACTAGTCATCCAATAAAATCAGAGCTCTTCTGAGTTCCAACTGAGTATCACATGGACAAACCATTGTAAAAAGCACAAAATCATAACAATGGTCTCATCTAACCTCTAGGCTGCAATCTTGCCTTTGGTATCAAGATTCAAAATACTTTTGCTGTTGCAACTATTATTGCATCTCAGCTTGCCAACAAACTTTGTGGGGGAGGGAGTGGGACATAGAAAATGGCCAGACATCAAGATGTTGATGTGAGAACCAAAGACATTTTGGCAGCTGTTTACAGAAGCCAAAAAAGACTTTCCCGCAACAATATATGGAGACCATATTGGACAATGTGACCTGAGTTAATGGGGGGAGGGGTGGTGGTAGAATCTGAACTGTAACTATAGGAGTTAGCAAGGGAAAGCTCTAGATCTGATTTTGTCTTCAAACGTGCTGAAATCATGTACTCTTTGAATAAAGAGATTGGATCATCTCGATCGTGTTTGCTTTGGTTGGGTTCATCAGTCAGAACCTTGACATTTGGACAAATATTATTGACATGCCTGTCATTAATATACACAAATTATGTCTTACCATAAATAAAAACGTTTACGCTATCTGATTTGAATGACGGTCCGCTCTTAACATTGCAGATGTATTGGCCTTTATCTATATCATGGACTTTATCAACAACAAGGATGCTATAGAATAGGTTGGGCTCATCTTTTCTTTGGTGAATGCTTCTACTAATGGTAGCTCTTTTGCTTGCCTAGATAAGAGAAAAAAGGAAGACAGGTCTTATTACCATCAACAATTGTTATTTGGAATTTATACAGTGATCGCAATTCAACATGTAACTTTATTATGCTTTTTTATTCAGTTTTTAGATATACGGTCATAAAAACACTGTATTGGAAAGCAGGAACTGAAGATAATCTAGAATCTATATGCTGACTCTGTAAACCACTGTAGACCAAATTTTCTATGAACATAGGAATGCATATATTATATAGCACATTATATAGCGTATGTATGTATGTATGTATGTATGTATGTATGTATGTATGTATGTATGTATGTATGATTTATATCTTTTGAGGCAAATTTGTATGCTAAAAGTTATTAACCATCCTTCACCAAGTAATCAGGCAAATTATTTTGGATTGTGTTCTGTATTAAGACTTATGTGGTTCACTCAAAAATGTGTAGAACCAAGAAAAATGAGAGATCTGCCAGTAATACTGTATACAGTATGTATGCAAATGGAAAGTGGGAATTCTCTCAGAAAAGGGAAATGATTAGTGGACCTTTTATAATATACTCTTAAATATTGGTTGACTAGGCCAAACCTCAAGTAGGTTTCAATTTTCCCATATATTAACCTTATTAAGAACCAATGGCAAATTGACAAACTTTCTTTGGAAATCTGGGACCTATTTGTACATGGCTGAATATGCTAAAATGTGGTGAAGAAAAATGCAATAACCATGTTTTATCATTGATGAAGTGATTTGTGA